CAGGCTGTGCTGAACTGCTATATAAACCACATGGAACCTTTAAAAACAATCAGTGAGATTCCAAAGAGAGAAGTCAACACAACACTTGGTAGCAGCAGCAGCTATCATCTGTTATGGGAATACTATACTGTTAAACACAAACCACATTGAGATTCCCAGGCTAGACATAAATCATATTTTAACTAGGCCAGTGCATCTAAATTCTAAATTCCTTGGTGCAGCAGTTCACAAGGTAGAATATTCCTTTCTGTTGGGCACAAGCACTAACATTTAAAGTGTCTGAATCTAAATTGTTTTGTGAAAATATCTCAATCCACTTTTTGAAATTATAATAGAGGGCCGGATGCTACAACTGGTTGGAATACTGTTCATTTCACTTCTGAGACACACATCTAAATACAACGCTGACTGAGGCGATGGAAGTCTTTGATTGCAGTAAAATATCCAAGTTAAGCGATTTTATAAAATCTCAAACTTTCCAAAATTGCAGAGATCAACAGATCATCTGGGTGTGGGGAAGGGAGACGAGAGGCATTTATCTGCTCCAAATAGCTTTGTCCCGGAAGAGTGGAGGCCAAAGTAAGTCACCCTTGAGGCCGCTCTTGCACACAGTCCAGGGGGACATTGCTGAAAATGTCAAAACTAACATTTGCGTATAATGCACATAACATATTCAAAGAGTTCCCCATCACTGATACCCTGTGTGTAAGGTATCACGTTTCCAGGATTTGATTTGAGAACATTTTTTTATTGGTCAGCCAGGTGTCTGACATATGCGTAAACCCATCACCCACGCTTAAGAGTATCCCAACATGACCTTAAAAGTAAATGAAGGGATTATAGTTTTGTAATCTGTTCCTTCTATTGGAGTACTGAAGCTTTCACACCTGGTAACACTGCTGATTTGTAGAAAAAACGTTTTACAATTTGACACTATTATTCATATTTGTGCTGTACTGTCCTATATTGGATAAATCTGGTTTATACGGTGATTTGTATGTAATTTAGAATTTGGCCTTCCATCAGCACAAGATGTTGATTGCCGCCATCTGTACAAAAAATAAGAATGGAATTTTTTCAGGCTATGAAAGAAGTTTCAAAGCAACACAAAAGTGAAAAGGAAAAGAAGAATTAGTTAAATAAACATTTAGAATCAGAAGCCTTCAAGTAAAAACTCTCTATTAGTTTTAAAGATGGTTGAGCCAAGGGAAACATCCAAGTACAGAGCATACATTTGTTCATCTTGGTGAGAAAGTGTATTAAAGTGCACGGATTATTGGAATAAACCGTTCCTTGTTCTCAATGCCTCAATTCATTTTAACTGCGTCTTAAGCCAATCTTAGTCTTTTATATTGCTGGTGAAGTGCCTTCAGGAAGACTTTTTTGAGATATATTTCTTTTATAATAATAATAATCCTTGCATTTGATATAGCGCCTTATCACGTCGTTGAGACGACTCAAAGCATTTCACAGACTATACTGTAAGGTGAATTGACCGTATATTTGTGGGCAAAACGCAGCAGCCAATTGCGCACAGCAAAGTCCCACAAACAGTCGTGGATTCAGTGGCCCAATTTTTTTTTAAGGGATTATTACCCCTGGAAAAGAGATCCACCGATCAACTAACAACGAAAGACTGCATCAAAGGTGGACAAGTAGACATTGTTGATAAATCCACACCTCATTGAAGGAAGAAATTTGTCCAAGAGGAATGTTCCAAACATATTACATCACCTCTCTTTGTAGAGGCTTACATTCAAACACAATGTCATGCAAGGAGTTCATTTGGTAATCCAGCTGTGTGTGTGTGTGTGTGTATACATACCACTGATGTGCAGATGGTGAGGTACAATACAATGCAAAATTACACTTGTAAAGCGCCTTCCGTGTCAGGGGGATGTCCAAGGCACTGGACAGTCAGGAATTAGGACCCGAGTGGGGGTGGGATCAGGGAGGGCGGAGAGAGTAGAAGGGTGGTCGAAGGCACAGTCAAAGAGGAGGGTCTTGAGGCGTGCCTTGAAGGAGGCAAGGGCGGGAGCGAGGTGAAGAGAATGTGGAATGGAGTTCCAGAGGGTGGGGGCATAGAGGCTGAAGGCTCAACCGCCAATGTTGGGGCGGGCCAGGCGGAGGACATGGAGCAGGACAGAGCCTGCTGAACGGAGGGAGCGGACAGGTTGATAAGGGGTTATCAGGTCAGAGAGGTAGGAGGGGGCAAGGCCATGGAGGGCCTTGAAGGTGAGGATGAGAATTTTAAACTCATTCCTCTAATGTATGGGGAGCCAGTGGAGCCGGGCGAGGATGGGTATAATGGGGTCACAGAGCCTGGTGCAGTGGAGGACACGAGCTGCAGAGTTCTGGATGATCTGCAGTTTAGAAGGGAAGAGTTGAGAAGGTCGACAGGCAGGGCATTGACATAGTCGAGCCTGATTGTAATGAAGGCATGTATGAGGGTTTCAGCGGCCTGAGGGGTGAGGCAGTGGCCGAGTCAGGTAATGTTGTAGAGGTGGGGGAAGGCAGAGCAGATCATGGCACGGATGTGGGGGAGAAAGGACAGTTGAGGGTCGAACAAGTTCCTGACTGGCTTGGTGAGATGCAGTGTGCATCCTTGAATGCTGATGCTGCCAGTGCCTGAGGTGCGGAGGCACATGCCAATCAAGAGAGCCTCAGTCTTGCCGATGTTCAACTGTAGAAAGTTGGCTCTCATCCAGGATTTGATGTCTGACAGGCAGTCTGTCGGGACAGCAGTGGTCCTGGGATTGAGGGTAGAGGCAGAGAGATAGAGTTGGGTGTCATCCCAACAGGTAATCCTACTTAGGGAAACAAAAAAGTTCAGCCGATTTTTTTAACAATAGTTTTAGAATGTCAAAATTGTAATAATAAAAAAAGACAGTGTTATAATGGTGACAGTGTTATGATGAAAAGATTTCTTGGACGTTAGGTGGATGTTGGCCATGAAAGAGTGTACAAATAAAATATTTGTATTTGATATTTAGGGATGGGAAGTTTAAAAAATCCAGAATATTTAACTTCTTACAAGTAAAGTTTAGATCTCGACTGAATACAAAATAGATGTGCCAAGAAATTTAATTCTTTTGCTGAAGATTATTTTGGAACAGAATTCCTCCAGATGTCTTACCAAAGATGATCAACATACAGTATTTGTACCTTATGTTATCCATTCATTTATTCTGCAAAGTAAAGAGAAAGATAGTGAAAAATATAAACATTTCATAAGAAACTGTTAATGTAGGGTCTCGAATCAGTTACTGTCGCCAATGTGCTTCTGCTGGTATTAGTTGCTCTTTAAATTACTATAACCTCTAACATTGCAGGTGGCTTGACTCTGTAATGTATTAATTTGGCCCTAAACAGTACATTATGAGTTAAGTGTTCTGAGATATGTTATGATCTTCCAAGTGATCATTGTAGTGCCATCTGGCACATCTACACAAAGACAGGAAGGTTAGAGTTCATACAGAAGGGAAATGAATTTTCTGTAAAGTATTTTCAAATCAAAATGTTTTGTTACAATTGGAATGTTCTCAGAGAAAATACTACTTTTCCTAGTAAGCTGAGGAACTGAAAGCACCCTGTTCAACTCAAAAATGTCCTTGGAACTAACCAAGGGTTCCACATATCTAGAGCACCTTAGGTCCAGATGGATTTCCTGCAGGACCTTTCAGGAAATCTATTAGTTTGTGCAATACCATCAATAGGTTTCTGGCATAATTGCTTGTGGGAGATTGGAGATCTTCTGAATACTCAAAGTCACTTTTCTTAGTGGTGAGAAGGAGCAAATGTCCTTGCAAAATATCCTTGTTTTTCTTCAGCTCTGATCTGTCATGCCACAGCACCCCACCTATATCTCACCCACAACATATACAGACAATTCACTTTACAGTATATTCCGTGAAGCGCTTTGACACGTGATAAGGCACAGCATCAAATACAAGGATTATTATTATTGTATCTAAATGAGTTCAGGAAAGGTGGAGTTGGCTATATATTGCGTGTCTTGCCATTAATCAGTGTTTTGTAGGCACTCTAATACTCTACATGGGGAATATGGTTTATGATCTATCATTTTAGATGAATTGTAAACTGGCCAAACAGAACCTAGGAGGAGCTGCTTATACATCAATATTAAGACCTACTTAGCGGTGTTTCTTCAGAAGGAATCTGAGTTTCACAAATAGAGACTAGGGACCAGGAAGCATACACACCAATACATCTTGGAACATAACCAATTTGAGTTCAAATCTCACCTGGGGACAGCAGGATATGTTTTACAAAGTCTGCTCATTGTTCAGCAACTTTCCATAATTATTTTAGACGGAATTGCTGAATGAATGATCCAGTCAGCTCTGGCCTGTATTTATTCCCAGTTTGAAAGAAATACTGATTCAGATATAAAATTTCACGATAAATGCATTAATCATTCTCAGGATCTAAATGTAATAGTTGTAAATAGGAAATTATTTGGTAAATTGGGATTCTATGATTACTTGCGTTTCATACCCCAATAATTATCAATCTTGTGTTCAACTATGTAAGATTTTCATTGTTACTAACCCAGACTATAGTGGCAATTAACTGACAAGGTGATACATTGCTTCCTTTGGGTATTTAAGTACATTTAACATATGAACTCTCAGGCAGGGGGCCTGCTACAAGAGGTATATTATCTTGGATATACTATTCAGGGTTTTCCCCCCCATATAAGCCTTGCATTCATCTAAATTTCGTCCACATATGTACAGTCAATTCACTTTACAGTATATTCTGTGAAGCGCTTTGAGACGTCTAGAAAACATGAAAAGCGCTATATATCAAATGCAAGGATTATTATTATTATTAAATCATAGAATGTTACAGGACAGTAAAAGACCATTCAACCTAGCAACTCTCTGCTGATGTTTTCTCCAAATGAACTTTCGAGTCGTATCTCGTTCGCTCCTGCTCACTCCCGACAAGCTTTAATACTGTATTGTCTGTTGTCAAACAAAAGGGATCAGGTAAGCAAGTTCATAGATAGGCATGGGTTAATCAGGGACAGTCAGCATGGATTGGTCAAGGGCAGATAGTGCTTAACCAATTTAACAGAGTTCTTTGAAGTAGTAACTAAATGTAGATCAGGGCAATACTATGGATGTAGCATATTTGACTATGGGATTGAGTTCCAAAAAGTGGGGGCAGAGAGGCTGAAGGCAATCCCCTTTTACAAGAAGTTCAACAACGGTCTGTGGCAGAGAATTGTAACAGACCAATGATCTCTTTGTTAAGAATTGTTTGCTCAGTTCCCCTGTAATTCTTGTGGTGGTCGTGTTTGCTTCACAAAGACACCGCAGTTGTGGTCCCCTCCTCACTTGCTCTGGCACTTTTTAGAATGCGGTTGAAGCTGCATCTCTGTACTTTGTGGAGGCACGGTTATATTTTGTGGGGATCCATTGGAGTACAAATATATGAGAAAGTCAATCTGAGGCCCACAACTGTTCTGTGTCACAGCAATATGTGGTGGCAGCTTCTCTAAGTTAGCTCTTTAAATCCACTGCTGGCCTCTGTCTGTTGATGGAAGTTGACTTTTCAATAACATTTCCTGGACAGTTAAAATTAATGGAATGAGTGCACAACTGGAAGGGTGAGTCGATCATAGATTTCTATTCATTGAAATCTTTGTAGGTCAAACCCAAGTTCTGCTCATACACATTTACAACCAGGCTCGTCATTTATGGCTACCTGCTCCCCCTCTCTCTCTCTCTCTCTCTATATATATATGGAGCCAGCAATAGTTTTTTTTCAAATTGTATTGTTTCCCATTGCATATTGAATCATGCTATATGAATTCTTTCCTGGTTTATCCCATCTATTCATGTTGCTAAGTGGAATACTTAACTTTAAATTACTGTGTCAATTGTGTGTCAAACGTTCAGTGACAATCAACAAGTTTACAAAATATCATTGCAAATTCTAATGCAATCTTCTCATTATTACACACGTTGATGTTATGAACTTCCTATTATTTCAAACCTTCTGCTTTAGCCAGAACTTTGCACTAATTAAAAAAACTTTAGTTTCCTTATACCGATGTCTCAAAAGGTCAAAGTGCCACAAAGAGAATCATTTATATTAAACTTTAGCCTTTGAGTCTCTGTGTTTGGACTGATTTTAATATTTTACCAAATTTCGTATACATCTCACTCCACTGTCCTTACCAGTCCAGGGGGTAAAACTACAGTGTTCCTAAAATAAACTACAAACAGCGTGATAAAATTCTAACATTAATTTTATTTTGTTGCAAGAATTTTCTACTTGGCAGACTGTTAATAATATAACTCTACATATATAGATAACTGTGATGTATTTCTTATGGTCACTTCTTCCCTCCCCTGGCTCTGCCACTGTTAAGTTCTCCGAGACGCTGCCCTGTATAAAGGGCGCTATATAAATGCAAGTTGTTGTACTTCATTATTTTTATTTAATGAATTTATCACTGGGCTGGAATGTTTTTTTTTTGGTTTGTGCAATTTACTTTTGCCTGGAAAAATATACTGGAAAGATGTTCAATACCACACATCATAACAAAGGGGCTCTGCTTACAGCAGGTTCAAAGCAATCACAGTGGAAAAGTTAGTCCAACATAAAATCCCAATTTATATTTTACTATGAGTTTAAAATGAGTGAATATAATTTGATGGAAAACAAATTATTCACTGTAGAGAAATGGAATCTATGTAAAACTAAATGCTGTCAATAAAAACCTGTCATAAAAATTACCCACAAGACCAAATTCATTTGCTGTCTTTTGGTATCAAGGATTTCAATACGTGCACAAGAAAGCCATTATGATTGACATTTTGTCTGGAGAATGCTGACATTTCAGGCTTATCATGCTGTAAAGAAGGCTGGGCCATGTCCATCGAAAGCAAGATGCACTTGATTTGTTTCTTCTGAGCCCATGCTGAAAATAGTGCAAGGTAACACTGATCAGTCAAGGAAAGCGACCTTCCAAAGCTTTCCTTATTAGCATGTAGGTTCCAACAACAACAACTTGCACTTACACCGCGCCCTCCACGCAGGGTTGTGTCTCAGAGCGCTTAGCAGTGGCCGAGCCTGACTCCGAGTGGTGGGGGGGGGGGGGGTGGCCGTAAGCACAGTCGAAGAGGAAGGTTTCCAGGCAGGATTTGAAAAAGGGGAAAGAGGGGCAAGGCAGAGGGATTGAGGGAGAGAGTTCCAACATTTCGGGGCGTAGTGACTGAAAGTGCAACCTCCGATGGTGGGGCGGAGGATGTGAGGGACAAGCAGGAGCCGGTGCCAGTCAAGCGGAGGCGCTGGGTAGTGGAGTGGGGAGTCAGGAGATCGGAGAGGGAGGGAAGTGCCAGGGAGTGAATGGATTTGAACACGAGTGTGAGGACCTTGAAGTCGATCCATTCGGTGATGGAGAGCCAGTGGAGCCTGGGCCAGAACTGGTGAGATGTTGTGGTGTCACAAGAAAGCTTTGGATGAAAAAAACCTTTTTGGCTCTTCAATCCAGCCAACCCACACAACTTCCATTTCTGCACCAAGCTGTTTCTTAATATCTTCACGCTCTTGGCCACAACCACTGGACCTACGTACCGGAACATAGGAACAGGAGGCAGCCATTCAGCCACTGGAGCCTGTTCTGCCATTCTATTAGATCATGGCTGATCTGTACCTTAGCTCCAATAATCCGCCTTTGCCCCATATCCCTTGATACCCTGACCTAACAAACATCTATCCATCTCAGTCTTGAACATTTTAATGGATCCAGCATCATGTTTTATAATTGTGCACAAGATGTCACTATTTAGAAGGTTCCTAATTTCCTCCGGAACATCGCCAGACTACGGCATTACCTCACCCCTCACGCCGCTGAAACCCTGGTCCACGCCTTTGTCACCTCAAGGCTGGACTATGGGAACTCTCTCCTCGCCGGCCTTCCCGCCACCTCCCTCCACAAGCTGCAGGTCATTCAGAACTCTGCAGCTCGTATACTGTCCCGCACCAGGCTTCGGGACCACATCACTCCCACCCTCGCTCGCCTCCACTGGCTCCCCATCCCCCAGAGGATTGACTTCAAGATCCTCATCCTCACCTACAAGGCCATTCACGGCCTTGCTCCCTCCTACCTCTCCGACCTACTATCCCCCTACCTACCTGCCCGTACCCTCCGTTCCTATGGCTCTGGTCTGCTCCACGTCCCCCGCCCCAACCGCCCTACCATCGGTGGTCGGGCCTTCAGCCTCTCAGCCCCCAGGCTCTGGAACTCCATCCCCAGTGCCTTCGCCGCTTCCTCCCTTTCCTCCTTCAAGGCCGGTCTCAAGACCTTTCTCTTTGACCGTGCCTTCAGCTCCCCTCTCGACTCTCTTCCCCTCCTCGCTCCCTCCCTTCCCTCCCCTCACCCTGACCATTTCCCCCCTCCTCGCTCCCTCCCTTCCCTCCCCTCACCCTGACCATTTCCCCCCTCCTCGCTCCCTCCCTTCTCTCCCCTCACCCTGACCATTTCCCCCCAATGCTCGGGTCATGACCCAACTGTGCAGCGCCTTGGGACGTCCTCCTGACGTGAAAGGCGCTTTATAAATGGAATCTTGTTGTTGTTGTTGTTTTAATTTAAGAGCATGTCCTTTTTTGTGTCATTAGAACACAAGCTAGTACAGCTCGTAAAGTACACATTAGATCTGCTATCATTGATTCTCCAAACACCGCATAAAAGGGTAATTGATCACTTTCTTACACACCTGATTTCAGTTGCTGTCTGTTAGCTTCACCATGTAAACATCCAGTTGGCAGTTTCTTTTTATATGAACCACTTTGCTGCAGAAAATACGTGGTTTGCAATGGCCTTGACTTGCTTGTTGAAGGCCGACACTTGCGTGTTGAAGGCTGAACCTTGCTGAAGTCTTTCAGCCAGTTATTAACTGATAAGCATCGAGGGTGCTGATCTTGTAATGAGAAGTGCTGAACCTTGTAACCAGCACCTGCAAGCAAGAATTTCAAATGTATTAATATATTTTTATTATATCAATACATTTTTTATTTTGCCCGCTAAACATACAGTCACTACACTTTACAGTATATCCTGTGAAGCACGTTGAGACGTCTCAAGGCGCTATATCAAATGCAAGGATTATTATTATAATTATTTAGTTCTGATTTTCCTTCCAGTCAGCATTCAGACCAGGAACTCACTACCGTACTTTAACACTACCATACTTTACCTTAACACTATTCAAAACTCAAAAAACATATTTCAAGTAAATATTAGTGCACTGAAAAGCATGCCCTGCTTTATCAACGGAGTATTTTCAGTTCCCAGCCAAACATATTAAAGTTCTGACTATGGTCATTTGTGCTAAATTGTTGGAAATTTGGGTTACAGATGACTAGGAACTAGCTCAAAAATGTCCATATTCATTTCGGCCCAGTTAGAGGAGAGAGATCTTGAAGTTGGTTTGAGAGCGCTTTACGTTGCATCCAACCTGTGTTCTTCCTGATGCTTAACAGGGTCTAATATGATATATTCACCACAGGAATCGTAAAGAAGTGAAACTTGGACAGGTGTCAGACACAACCCTCTGGAAATCCGCTTGAATACTGATCTCAGCTCTGACTTCTGTGAAATTGTATTTCTGCCAAGGAAGGCACCCGGCAGCCAGCAGGAGATTGAGGTCAGAGCCTCAGAGAGAAGAATTTGGTGACGGTAAAACGTTTTGCAAATCAGATTCTAGGATTGACATTGAAAATGGCTCCTCCACCACTGGTGTCCTCAGCTCGATGAGCATGAAATTCGCCCCCAAAAAACATGGTTAATTGACATCATTAAAATTCTCTTTTTACTTTTTACAGATGATCTTTGTTTCCTCGGTGTTCCTAGAATGCCACTTTTCCACCCTTCAATACGACTCTCCTGATAGGATGAGCTACTCTCCAGCCGCTTACACTTCTGTTCAGTCTCCTTGTATTTTTCTTTTGGAAACAGCACAGCAAAGCTCTGTGTAAATTGCCTATTTACCAACACACAATGATGCACAGGAAAAAGCACAAGGTGAAATAAAGATTGCCAAACGTTTAATCAAGGCTACATCTGAATGATTTCACTCCTAATTGGCCAATCTCTAATTTTAAAATGATGTCCCCTTGTTCTGGATTCCCCCACCAGAGTGTTAGAATATCTAACACCAGATACAAAACACTTATGTTTAAATTGTTTTTTCCCTTACTGTTTCCAAGCTTCTCCCCATCCCCTTAAAACTTGGGTAACGTTCCTGGGGGAGTGGGGGTACCCACCTTTGAGTGACTCACAAGTGCTAAGCTTCACGTGGGAGCCAGGTCAATGATTGCTGAGACTATTAGAGCATTGCTGATAGCCAACAGGATTCCCCAAGCTCTTGTTGAGCCCCGTGTACTGGAAAATGAATCTCTCCGTTTTCTCAAAGCTTTCACTATGGAATTTCTCCCAGTTCAGAGCTTGCAAAGGAGGGGGATGTATTCCAACACTATCCAAATAAATACTCATTGACATTACCTGTCTTCCTTGTTCATCTGTTTGATTTGCTCTGATGTTTCTAAATTTTCTCCCAAGTTGTCAGTTTTAGGATGTTTGACCTGAATTTATAAATTGATGTTGATTAGACGCTCTCATTCTCCCATTGAAAGGTTTTCTAAAAAAATTCTAAAAGTTCATATCTTTCCCATTGTATCTTTCTTAGTAATGATAATCCTTGTATTTTGTGTAGCGCTTTATCACATCTTTGAGACGTCTCAAAGCGCTTCACAGAATATACTGTAAAGTGAATTGACTGTACATATGTGGACGAAATTTAGATGAATGCAAGGCTTAGACTATATTATTTGGCTTCTTCTAAATGAGTGTTCTTTGTATTGTGTTCTTTACATGCATTGCAGAGGAGAGCCACAAAACTAACCTTCCCTGTCAGAGGGGTGAGCTACGAGGAACAACTAATAAGCTATAAACCTCTAACTGAGACATGTGACCAAAGATGTAATAGAGTACAAGCTATTTCATGGAATACAAAAAGTAAACTTAAACCAATAATTTTGGATACACCAGGGCAGCAGGTAAAGAGGGCAATTCTCCATTTTCCACGTTTCCAATCTTGGTTTGGCCACTAAAATTGACTGAGCTACCAATCCCAGGGACCATGTACCTGCTCTTTCTCTTTACCAGGGAATAAAATAGGGTGTTGTATATGGGTCAGAAAATAAAGATTTAAAAGGTGAATGAATAACAATGACCATTTATGGTCCAGCGCTTTGGGACGTCCTCCCAACATGAAAGGCACTCTACAAATGTAATTTTGTTGTTTTTGTTGTTATGACTATTTCATTTAGTTGAAATACACAAGAATCCTTTAGGTTGTTAAAATAAATTGAATAGAATCATTTATAATTTAGATTTTTCTCCATATAAAATTAGGTCACGTTGTCATCAATTCTTACCTCTAAGTTACGGCATGTTGTGGAAATGTTCCAGTCATTTGGTATCTCTGTAGCGGTGATCTGTCCCATCCGTAGCAATGAATCAGTATCAAGTGAAGCTATTTCTCCTCTCTCACTTTGTAATGTGAAGGGAATGCAGAAACAGAGGCACAGAGAATGTTATGGTCTGAATGACAATGGCAGTTATTTCCAACTTGTTTCCTAGATTTTTTGTAGAAAAGTCCAATTTCTCTCCGAGATGGTATTTCTACTATTTCTACAGTAGCTTTCTAGAGGTTACCAACAACACCAACTTGCATTTACCCAGCGCTCCTCACACAGGGCAGCGTCCCAGAGCACTTGACAGTGGCGGAGCCCGACACTAAGCTGGGGGGAGGTGACCGTAAGCACAGTCAAAGAGGTAAGGTCTTCAGGTGTGACCTGAAGCTGTGGAAGGAGGACGCAAAGCGGAGGGATTGAGCGAGAGTGTTCTAGAGTTTCAGGGTATAGTGGCTGAAAGTGCAGCCATCAAAGGTAGAAAGGATGGCACAAGGGATAAACAGAAGGCCGGAGCCAGTCAAGCGGAGGCATCAGGTAAGTGGGCTGGGGAGTAAGCAGGTCAGAGAGGTAGGGAGTGTGAGGATCTTGAAATGTCTGGGGTTAAACTCTTCACTAGCCTGCTAGCAGTCAGATTTGTTTGCATTACTTTGCAATATAACTGTAATCACTAGGCCAATTATTATCCATTAAATAACCGCACTGGCAGAAGAATGTTGCCCACCTGTCATTTTTGCCTTCCATGTCATCCATGTTTGAGAAAACCAGGGGAGGAAAAACAGAGCGGTGAAGACATTCACACCCTCAAAGAAAAAGAGAGGCATCTTACCATTTTGATATCTCTATTTGTGTTCCTTCATCCTGCTTATCGTCAAACTGAGCATCTGCCTGCATTGCTTTCGATACCCCTTCCATACTCAGAATGTCTGCCTCTGCTTCTTCCTGTGGAACATACATAGGATGCACAGCAGGATCAACGTTGCAGAACCTTTGAGTTAGAAGGCACTCATACAGGTCAGTGCTTCAAAATGTCACTGTGTGGGTTGGGGAGCATGAGCAGCCTTTGTTTATTCAGAATCAAGGTAAATGAAGGATACATACGGGTCACTGCTTTTCCGTTCCACGTCTTTACCTATTTTCAATTGATGCCAAAATCATATAATTTTATTTGAAACTGCCCCCCCCCCCACCCCCGTCCTTCCATCTAAGGCACTAATTGTTAAACATAGGGAACTGTTAGTGATGGGATCTGGCCTCTTGCATGACCAGAGCTTCAGATAAAAGGTGGAAGCAATGTCCTGTAGTGAGAAACTAACCTTTTGACTTGGACCCTATCCATCATGTGGTTAATGTAAATACAACAGGCCAACCTTTATAGCCTAAGGACATGGAGGTCAGGTTCAAAGAACTTGCAATTCATTATTAATGATTGGCTCTTGTACTCAGTTCCAACTGCCTCCTTCTTGAGGTCCACAAAGGTTCAGGACATGGCCTCTGGTTAATGTCCCTGGGACCTGTTTTCCTTCTAGTTTCATGTATGTTATTTAGGATCATTTACTTTTCACGAGAGAGATAAAGGGGAACTGTGTTTATGTGAAATGCCATACCATTTGTTCCTACCAGGAACAAGTTCAGACTAACCCAAGCTCTTCGTAGCACTCAGAGAGAGACTTTCATCCCAATTAAGTGGGATCTGACCTGGGTTCCAGATGTGAAAGGAGAGAATGTACCAACTAGTCTCTGATCAGAAGAGACTTGTAGCCAATCAGGGTGTGATGGACTCTCACCCCAGTTGCTAAGATGAAAGGACTGTCCTTGAGACCACCCCGTGCTTTTACTGCCGTCCCTGACGTCTCAAAAACTGTATTTAAAGGAAGAAATATATTTCTCATTGAACAAATCACACAGAACAAATGGCTGATTCTACAGATCGCACAACTTACTGATTCTTCACAAGTGTACGCCGTTGTCCCCATCTCTGGCACCATCCACAACTCCATCTTTAAGATGCTGTCTGCTTTTCCTGTCCAATCAATCCTGCTCTCGATCTTGTCTCTAAATGATGCCGAGAGAGGCCGTAGACTTGTCTACAAAGACGTAAAGAATAGAAGTTACAGATTGCTTGTGTGATGCTGATAGCTGAGAAATTCTGCTCTGGTCGATGTCTGGCTGAAGAATTTGAGAAGTACACTTAGCCCACAAGGTGATATGAACTCTTTCAAGTAAATGAGCTGTTTGGATTGACTAATAACTGAAATAGATTAGATTTTTCACTCGGCAGTTTTGTTTATTCCCTCCCCCCTCTCTCCCCCCCTCCTCGTACCTCTGTTCCGGATGTGCCGTGTAAGGGAGGTGACAGTTTTACTGGCTTTCTGTTCCTGTTCAGTCTACCACATGTGCTGGCAACTGAAAAACAAAGGTACCCAAGTTGGCCAACATGTTTTCATCATTTAGTAAGAATGCTGGCATTTAAAGTCAGCAAAAAAAGAGAATAATTATGAAATGTAGAATGTAAAAGGAAATTTAACAACTCGTTTGCATTCAATACGAGCTCTTGTTAGCAACTAGTTGTGCATGTCAAGTCGAGGGCTGTCAATGATGTGGAATAAAATTTTGTTCCAATGGCTCCTTTTAGTATGACTGGGAATTTAGTAGTAAATGGATTCATTTTAGGAATATATGTGGAAACTGATTTTACTTTGGGCTGTTAAGCTGTCAATCAGACAAACTTATCTCCTCAGTCCAAATGGGATTTTACCCCGGGTTACAGAGCTGAAGAGGCAGTGTTCTAAGTCACAGCAATATGCAATCCTTCATTAATTCAGTCATCAGTGTGCAGGAGGAAATTATTTAGCATTATTAAAGATCTCCATCAACATCAAACCTCTGGAGTAGCTTGTGAAGTTATCCAACCCCTTGGATGCCAGCCAGTAGCTCCCTAACAGATCCCTAGTCTTTCAGTTATTAGATACTTTTAAAGAAACATTGAAGGTTATGTAGTCATGCCGCTTAAATTATTTTGATGGTTTGTTGGATGGACCATAACGTTCGTTGAGAATAAGGAAAGAACTCGAGGTCCAACAAGCCCTTCGTAACTGATCTCAACTCTGAGCCACGAGGACTGTGGGTTAGGCAGTTTAGTTATTCAGATTCAAAAATATAATTAGTCTTTATTGATATGATAGGCTTGACATTGGGTTCTGAACTGAGTAGACATTAAGGGAATATAGGCTTTTTATGCTCAAAGAATCTTCTCCCAATCCAACTGTTAGAATATACAGGATGTTACAAATTAAAAGAACTAATTTTCAAAGAACTTTTGTGCGGGTGTGTTATCTATTGCTCTCTGGGGCGTGAAGAGTGTGGAATGTGATCATTAACACGGGTAACATTCCGCGCCTGGCAGTGTTCAGCCACATTTGTATAGACCCCCAACTCTAGAATGGTTCCATCATTGCTGCTTGTGGCAGCCATTAAACTGGCTGGATTAAGCCATTAAAAACCAGCACAGTTCCCAGCATGTCATTGCCAGAAAGCATTGCATGTAGACACCAGTGTAGCAGATTGGGTCTCTAATGTGGGATATATAGAGGAGGAGGCTTGGGTATTTGCATCTTACTGACTGACTATGGTTTGATGCTGACACTGCTGCTGTGGTAAATCTTCAAAATAAGCTGTGTTTCTATTGATGCTTTGTGCACATACAAGTATTATGCAGATATCTGTACTAACATGTAATGAAGGAACTGCACAGGACCACAGACACAGCACTTGTTCTTTACTCTCAGAATAATCTAACAAGATTCACAATACTATGATCTGAACAAACTAATTTTGTTGTCATTTTTTCATTTGAGCAGCGATGTTAATACGCTGCTTGAAAGAGTTGAAATTCAGTCATTTATACCTTCATATCTTGACTCAGTGATTTCATCCGCTTCGCATTCTTCTCCAGGACATGTCAGGGTAATTCTGCAGTAAGAAGCAAAGATAGTATATAGCATAATATAGCAAGAACGCCATCCATAAAAAGGTTGAATCTGTAATTAACACCAACTTGCATTTACCCAGCGCCCCTCACACAGGATAGTGTCCCAGAGCACCTGACAGTGGCAGAGCACGATGCTGAGCTGGGGGGGAGGTGGCCATAGGCACGGTCGAAGAGGAAGATTTTCAGGCACAACCTTAAGATGGGGAGGAAGGGGCAAGGTGGAGGGATAGAAGAAGAGTGTTCCACAGTGTTGGGGCGTAGTGGCTGAAAGCGCTGACACCGAAGGTGGAACAGAGGGTACAAGGGACATGCAGAAGGCCGGAGTCAGTCGAGCGGAGTTGACAGGTAGTGGGTTGGATGGTAAGGCAGGTTGGAGAGGTAGGGAGGTGATTTAGCAAATAATATAGGCTTTCACGTCAGGAGAATATTTCAAAGCACTTCACTGAAAGGTGTGGTGATGATGTATTTTGTAGGAAAATGTGTCAACTGATTTGCGCAGAGCAATATCCTACAAACAGCCTTGAAGTAAGTGACCAATTTTATTTGGGGATTATTGGTCAGAACACTGGGAGAAACAGTCTCTTTGTGAATAGTGCAATGGGACCTTAGTTTAACATCCACTTGAAGGCAAGTGAAACATGGTGTGCCAAACATTCAGAATGGAGAATTATGAAAATGGTTTCACAGGTAAAAGTAAATATCACTGGTCAAGTTCACCTGTCTCCTTTGGCACCTTGCGGTTTCCAGCAGCCAAGATATTCATCCCATTCCATTTCAGATAGATCAACATAGATATAATGTTTCTTGCTGTTATATAGTCGATGGACAATCAGACAACTATTGTTACCTGTGTCAATAAAAAAAATCCAGAAGTACACTAATTAAATACGTTGAGTGTACAATGGTAACTTTCACACCGTTAGCCTGGGATAACCCAGATCCCAGAGGCATGTATAACAGCACTCAGCCTCAAGTATAGCATCTCTGCACAGTTGAGACCATCGTATCATCAATCCAGCCCCAATGGAGGTAAACAAAGATATGTACAGTTACCTACAACAGCGTCCATTTGGATCTCTGCAACATATGGTTCTGGAAGACAAGTAATACGGCCCATAACTTGTGGCTCAGTAAGAATATAATCTCCTAGAGCTTCAAGACAGTTAGAAAGAGAGAAAAAAAACATTAAAATGAAACACACTTCAAAATGGACATTTTTTATAAATATCTACAAAATATGATTGGACAGTTTATCGAGGTGAAGGCACATTCTGGTTTCAGTGATCACGGATTAAGGTGAAGCCAACTGAAGTGCCCAATAATAATGATTGTTGCTGATGGTGTATTAAAGCAACTTAACAAGTGCTAACTGGTTACATTCTGGACAGAGTAATCAGAAGCCCCATGAGCTACAGTGGAAGCAGACAGTGAAAATTGGTCATTTGATTAAGACTTTGGCAAAACCATCTAAGATTATTATTATTATAAAGTTAGTATCACACTTTTGGATCCTTAAACAGCATTGGACATCTGTCGCACCTTCTCTTTTAAACTTTGGTGATGTGTTACACTGTGACCTTTGGCCTTTACCCACAAAATGCAGTCAATCCACTTTACAATATATTCTGTGAAATGCTTTCAGACGCTCAACAGTGTAATAAGGTGTTACATCAAACGCAGGGATTATATTATATTCACCTAAATTTCCCCAATAATAAAAATGCAAATTGATGGACGTGCACTGAGGCTACAAGCTCATTGGCGTGTAAAATCCACAATAAATCTAAAAGCAAATGGTAAGGGACAAAGGCACAGGCCAGTGTGAGAGAGTTCCATGTACCAAGTTTCCAGTTTGGGCTGAGGCTGTAAAACAGAAAGCAGCCCCAGTGGCAGTTTGTGAGTAACAGACTAGATTGTGTGTCTGTCTCTGTGGCTAAGTCAGGCCCTGCTTTCTAGGGAAGCACATTTAGAAAACATTTTTTCCTCCAGTGGTCTAAATTCTAGGGTACAAATAGAACTTGGCTCAATTCCAAACAGATTTTTCTCATGCTTAAAATCACTGGGAGAAGGGCAGACCCGTGTAGACATCCTGAAGTGTATAATAGTTGGCAATATTTTTCTCAAAGGATTTGCAAGAGCTCAGAAGAATAGACACTTCTTTAAATAGGATAATATTGCTATGGTAAAGTGCTATGCAGAGAAGGCCCGTCATTCCATCAGTCTGGACTGGATTTCAACTCAAGTCCCAAAGGTGGAAGGAGTCTTTTAAACAACTGTGTTACCCCGTCTACACCAGGAAGAGTTCCAGGAATTCCCTTATGTGTATATCTTTAAACAACCATATCCTGTAGTCAAGTTTTTCAGCTCAATCTCATTCCAAATTTTCAAGCTCTCATAACACTGGTTGGTTCACCTGTACCTGGAGTCTTAGCAGAACTTCCCATTGGAGACTTTCTGTATGGAGAACTCCTTATACTGAAGAAACGACAAAGCAAAATAGAACCAACAAATAAAGAAGTTGAGACAAGATAATCAGCTATTTCATGAGGTACATTCTCCCAGTCTGGAGTTAGGATTTACTAATGGCTTCAGGATTTATTATACTAAGATTGAATTTAAGAATTTGTCAAATCGTAAATACGCTGAAATATTAACAATACAGTCTGAATCCATCAGCAGGTTGGTATTTCTGCACTTTGGGCTGGATTCAATCTCTAACGCCATAAGTGAAAATACAATACAAAATGACATTTGTGTAGTGCTTTTCACATCGCGAGGACAGCCCAAGGCGCTGGGCAACTGAAGATCTGAAAAGGCCAGATCTTCTAAGCCCAATTGTTGTACCTCTACACATACATTTAGCTCAATGTTCGCCAATTGGACAGACACACAGTACAAACGGGTCATGTGCAGACCGTACTGTATGCGATATTGCGTGTGTTGCGTTTTCTCTTTTCTGTCACAGGAATGTTTCACTGCAAGTGTAAATATATACAATAACAATAAATGATAATCTTTATTGCGCCTTTCACGTCGGGAGGATGTCCCGAGGGGCTTTATGAATGCAATATACTTCATCGATAAATATATATTTTGTTTACTAAAAAAAGGCTCACTGAATGACATTTTTCCTTTAGAAAAATATATGAACGACTAACCCTTGGTGCAGGTGATCAGCGGAATGCAGAGATTTTGAAACTGGCTTACGGGGTAATGCTTTACTGGCCTGCAACACAAGAAGCAATTATACCCTTTTGTGGAACTTCCTCCGATGAGTGAATTATATACAAATCATTGCATTTGCAACAGCCCGACTCTTCAATAATACCATCTGCAGGAAAATAATTGGGTGCAAGTAACTTTTTGTTGCAATTCCCCTCCCGTATCGTCACTTGCTCTCCTTGGGCAGGAGGGTGGGTGGTCTAAACAGTTGCACATCCCTATGGACGCACTCAATACTCTTCCTCGCTGAGCTTCTACCAGACACATGTGAGTGGATGACAGACCCACTCCCAGAAATCAGACAGACAGAGAAGCTTCTGTTAAAGCCGCGATTATCTTCCCTTTCCCACAAACTGAGTCAGTTCCCATTCAGATGTCAGATAAAGGTGTTGAAGAAGTGACTATAGCGATGGCGCCATCTGCAGGACAGTACCCGGTCAATGCCAACTTCTCGTAGAGGGAGGAGTGACAAGTGAGAATATAATATCTACAGGACACAAACATCATGGTGAACTGCTGTTTCGCAGGTATAATGCATATCAGAGTCATTACAAGCCAATGGTTTGGTTATTCTGGCGTTATTTAGATCCATGTCGTGAATCTCCACCAGGTATTCTGAAAGACTCGAATCATCTCAACTTCATCACTAAACTGAGGCCTGTAACTCACTCCAAGTACCAATGTTTCTGTGTACAATTACTGTAAGAACCCTATGTTAAGTCTCATCCTGGCAAAGTCACTCCCAAGTGTCCACTATTCTCGACATAAACCTGAACCCATTATAGTTGTAATGGGGAGAGAGGATACCTAGTCAGTCTACAGAATGAAACGGGTGGAGTTATCACTATTATTTTTGCAGCTTTCTTAAGAGTCTTGGAAACAGTGCAGAACGACTGAAGAAAGCAAAGGAATACCGTACCTTCATCATCCTGAAAACTGTAAGAAAAACAGAAGTGGCTGGGATCACTCAGTAGGTCAGACAGCATATACGGAGAGAGGAAAGTGAGTTAACCTTTCAGGTCGTGAGTTTAACTCACTTTCCTCTCCATAGATGCTGCCTGACCTGCTGACTGTTCCCAGTCACTTCTGTTTTTATTTCAGATTTCCAGCATCTGCAGTAATTTGCCATCCTGAAAACTGTGCCTTGTTCATTGATTCGGACTGACATTGAGTGCATCTGTTTCCCTGACTTACCATGAGAACAAAAGACGGAGGCCCAGAGTTGAGGTCACTCGTTTTCATCCTCAGGTTATGGTGGTGCTTGTAGACCTTTCGGGTGATATAGTCGGAGACATGATCTATGATAAGCTCTATATCTTCCTGGGAATTAAGATGAAAATTAAAACCATAATGATACATCGGGGCTCCAGTGGGTAAACAAAGGTTAGGGGAATGAGAATGTGAGCCAAAGGTTTCAGGAAGTAGAGCAGAGAGAGAAAAAAAAATCCAATCTGGACACACTTTGACAAGAGAACGACTTGTACCTTGTTGGAAAAAACAGCCGTAATTAATCGTTTCCCCAAATCGTTTAGGTGACTCTCAACTGAACATGTGAAATATTTTAAAAGTATTTAAACACACGAGAACTGTATCAGGTGTTTTCATTCTGCTGAAGGGTATTTATTTAAACCCAACATCAGCCAGAGGTCAGCCAGCTTCCAGGAGTGACAAGGAGTGATAGTGAGCCTATTTGACATCCGTCACTTACCCAGAGAATGGGGTCAGGTTGCAGGTGGGCACGAACATGTGGTTACAGTCTGCTCAGCCTGGCCAGGGGTTACTAACTGACCTAAAGATGACCCATTCCTAGGTCTATGTCAATGGGTCTCGAGCTGGTTGCTAGATTTAAACTTCAAGATCCTCACACGTGCTCAAATCCCTTCACTCCCTGGCCCCTCCCTCCCTCTCCGACCTCCTCACTCCCCAATCCACCACCCGGTCAGCGCCTCCACTCAACTGGCACTGGCACTGGCTCCTGCTCGTCCCCTCGCACCCCCCGCCCCACCATCAGAGGTCGCGCTTTCAGCCACCACGCTCTAAAACTATGGAACACTCTCCCCCAGTCCCTCCGCCTTGCCACCTTCGCTACTTGTGCGTTTATAGAGTGCGTTCACAGACAGGAAAGGTGAGCAAATCGAAATTTTAGGAACTTTAGGAAAGAGAGGGTAAACAGGAATGAAAGGCAGGAAACAGGAACAAAAGAAGAAAGGGAAATAAGAAAATATCTCTCCAGGTGACTAAATTGCACCTCTAGGTTTGTGGGTCATAAAAAGCCAGGGGGGAGTCTGACTTGCCAAGGAGGGGATATGGTAGTCAGTGAACAAACCAGTAAAATCAAACTACAAACCTCCTGATAGGTTTTGGCCTGCACAATACTCATTAGTTTACTGATAAAGTTAATGTCTCCTGTGGCCAGGGTTAGAATCCGCGCTACTCCAGCATCCTTGCCAATGTAAGTATAGAACCTCGGCACGACGGCAAATAAGAACACAGCTTCCGAGGCCAACAGCTGACGAGGCTGTTCATACCTGAGCACATGGAAGACAAGAAAAAAAACCACAATATTAATAGGTTATTGCCTCACAGCAGAGGGAAAAATCACACAACTTGTATTTATTCAACGCCCTTCACACAGGGTAGCGTCTCAGAGCGTTTCACAGTGAGGGAGTCTGACTCTGAGTCAGGGGGAGAGCGAGGGAGTTGGTGACCATAAGCACGATCAAAAAGGAAGGTCTTTAGGTGGGATTTGAAGGTGGGGAGGGAGGGAGGGGGCGGGGCAGAGGGACTGAGGGAGAGAGTTCCTATCACAATTATTGAGCAATATCCCAAACAAGATAAGTAATATACCCCAAATTACATTTGATTTGCTGATTCTGACTTCCAACATATAAATGCATTCAATAGGAAGCTGGACCGTCATATGAAGTAGAGGGGAATAGCAGGGTATAGGAGGGTAAGGAGTGGGTGGTGACTGGTGTGGAGTATACACACCCACACAGGCTGGTTGGGCTGAGGGGCTGCTTCTGTGCTGTACAGTCTATGTAAACCTTTGTAAATTTGTGAATGACAAATCACAAAAGGCAGCAAAGTCTGAAAAACTTGGCAAGCAACCAAAACATGTGCCATTTCCATGAATTACCACTTTAAGGACAGATTATGATGTCCTAAACAGGGGATGCCATTCCTCAGAATTCCTCAGTTTCTAGATTTAACTTAATGAACCATTCCCCTACCCCCACCCCTCTCTCTACTGCCCTTTTCAAGAACCAGTTTTGTTTTATTGGTGCAACAAATTCAGAGATGAGACCTACCGAGAATCCCAGATTTGCTTCAACTTCACGTCTGTGTAATTCTGAGCTGAGATTCGCTTCTGGATCATTTCCAACAGCACAAAGTATAGGCTCAGATACAGCTTGTTATAAAGGCCACCTTTATCCTGCATCCAGGAGAGAGAGAGAATACTTTTAATGATAATACTGTACTGCGCCTAATACTCTCCGGAATTAGGGAATCAGGATGTGTCCCTCCAGGTAGAGAGAGCGGATTCCATTCTAACAATCTCTCTCCGGGATTTCCATGGGTAACTGGGATGCATGGAAATCTCAGCTTGGTTTGGAGACTCTTAAGGATGATGATAGGTTTCCGTTTGTGTCAGACACCCGGGTGATCAAACAAAAACTTGAAAATGCTAGTTTACTTGAATAGACAATTTAAGAACATGTTGAAAAGGCATCAATAAGAAAATACAGACTATCTAATTTGTCCTGTTTGCTAGATTTCTGACACTTGTAGAAGCTACAGAAGTAACGAGAGTTGCTATGAATCTACCAGTATTCTAAGGGTTAAAGGCATTCTGCATTGATTTACACTGAAACAGCACAACACTTTGTTACCTGATTAATGTCTTTATCCAGTTTAACTGCACTCACAAAGAGCGAGCAAACATTCAACAACTCCTCGGGATTTAACAGGAAGATGTCACAGATCGCAATATTCCTAAAACAGGAAAAGGCACTCATTGAAAATAAAGAGTTTCTATCTGGGGGTCAGTATACAGAACACTTAACCATTTCTATTTCCTCACTGCTTCAAAGGACACATCATGTACCAAAGAATCTCTACCAAATCTTTTGAACTTCATTCCTTTGGACACCCAGCCTTGTCAGCCTGGCTCAGTGGTAGCACTCTCACCCTTGAGTCAGAAGGTTGTGGGTTCAAGCCCCACAGCGTGACTTAGAATCACACAGTCTAAGCTGATGTTCCAATGCAGAGCCGAGGGGCTGTTCCATTGTCAGAGGCGCCGTCCTTTGGATGAGACATTAAACCGAGGTCCCGTCTGCCTGTTCAGGTGGACATTAAAGATCCCACGGCACCATTTGAAAAGAGAAGGGAGTTTCTCCCAGTGCCCTGGCCGACAATCCCCCGGATAAAAAAAATTGGTTATTCCTTCCATGGCTGTTTGTGAGACACTGCTGACTGCTGTGTTCCATCCATAAAATACAGTCAAAACCACTTTACTATACTGTGAAGCACTTTGAGTTGCATTTGCCTACAAAATACACAGTCACTACACTTTACAGACATCCTCCCGACACTAAAGTCGGAATATTATTAAATGATTTATTTTTTTATATATGTTTACTGTTTTCATGTTCCACTAAAGCAATACCATCCAGGCTCCCATGTTCCCATCTGCCACTCCCCGACCCACCTACCTTATCAGGTAAATTTTGGTAAGTTTCAGAGTGCTCATGATCAGTTTTAGGGGGATGGAAAACTCCAGAAAGACCTGCGTTACAAAGAAACAAACATCAGCCTCTTTTAAGGTGAATCAGAACCAATTAAAACACTGGTAGCTTTTACAATACAATATAAGATGACATTTACACAGCGCCTTTCACATCGGGAGGACGTCCCAAAGCGCTGGACAGTCAGGGATTTGGAACTGAGCTGGGAGTTGGGATCGGGGAGGATGGAGGGCAGGGAGGGGTAGGAGAGTGGCCGAAGCTTAGGCCGGAGAGGAGGGTTTTGAGCAGTAACAGACTATGGCATGCACTTGGATTGTTTGAAATATGTTGTGGGCCGTTTAGTTCAATCAATAACATAAACAATTCCACATATGGACATGTCCTGAACAAATTGGACTCAACAACTGAAAGCAACCATTTTGCCTTTAGCGGCCAGAAAATTGGGTTAGTAATGTTAAAATGGCACTGTTTGAAATGAGAGAGTAGTTTCTCCTGATGTCCTGGCCAACAATCCCCACAGATAAAATTGATCATTCGCTTCATATCTATTCTTGTGGATGTTTCCGTGCACTAATATGCCACCGGGTTCACCTGCTCAGTCACTATACTTTACAGGAAATCTTGTAAATTGCTTTGAAATGTCTCAATGACCTGATAAGGCGCTACATCAAATGCAAAGATTAGTAGCACAATACAACTGAAGCAATTTATTCCCATTCGCAGACTTCACATCATATATTTATTATTTCCCAACCCAAAAGATGAATGTGCTACATCTGTTTATTTAATCCCTGGTGGTTACATTGCTGCCCTGACAGGAGACTTTGCTTCCTTATAGTATCAGATTAAGATTTCTATGGCTATTCTTTTGCTAAATCTAAATTGAAAAACAATAAATACACATTGCAATGCGTTCCCATTGCAGTAAAGTGGATGCTGAGTGGAGTACACTCAGCTGTTAGTTCCAGGAATTGTCTGCAACAAAAAAAAACTCTTCATTGAAACGACAGTTGTGCTTTGAAAAGCGAGCGATAGAATGGTATTTTCCTGTTACCATTAGAATCAAAAGCAGCAAATGGAACTTCTCAGGTTCTTCAACCCTAACATTGATCAACTCAACGATTCGATTCGACAGCCTATTTGCAAGAGAAAACCTGTGGGTAGAAAAAAAAACAGATTTTGTTTTAATTATCGGCAAACAATTGCTTAATTTTTCTGACTTCAGATGGGTTGAGCTACCATAGCGATTACTGATGTTCTTGTATCTCTAACCTGGGTGGGCTTTCCCCAGACAGTGGGGTCCATCCACAGCCAGAACACAGAATTATCAATTCATGACGTACTGTCACAACCCTGCATGTGAAAATTTTTCCAGATAATAATAATAATAATCCTTGCATTTGATACAGCGCCTTATCACGTCTTCGAGACGTCTCAAAGCGTTTCACAGAATATACGGTAAAGTGAATTGACTGTATAATTTGTGGGCAAAACGCAGCAGCCAATTGCGCACAGCAGCGTCCCACAAACAGTCGTGGATTGAGTGGCCAAATTATTATTGTTTTTTTTTCTCTGGAGGGATTATTACCAGGCATTAGGACCCATATAGAGCAAGAACATTAATGTTCATCTCCTTCCTGTTGGGGAAATTACTTTATCGCATTTGCAGGCGACCACAAAATAAACTAGGGATTTTCAATTCACCAGAAAGAGCAAAATATTTTAGTTCCTGGATATGAAAAAGACATTATAATAATAATAATAATAATAATCCTTGCATTTGATATAGCGCTTTTCACCTTGGGAGGACGTCCCAAAGCGCTTCACAGAACACACTGTAACGTGAATTGACTGTATATTTGTGGGCGAACGCGGCAGCCAATTGCGCACAGCAATGTCCCACAAACAGTCGTAGATTGAAAATGACCAATTTATTATTGTTTTTGGTTTTGGAGGGATTATTATTAGGCTCTGTGTGGAGTAAGGAAACTTGCCTAAGGTTTCACCCTCTGCCTGGAATTGAACTCAGGTCTCTCACTTGCAAAGCGAGTGCTCTAACCACTGAGCTACAGGACTCCACAATTAATTGTATTATTAATTACAAGGTCAGTAGTGACGTTTACTGTTTTTTGGGTGCCGGTAAATTCTGGTGCCGGCATTGTAACTGATTATGACAGATAAGCAATCCTCTGCTTCGGGATTAAAACTGAGACAAAGTCAATACTGTAATAAATAAGGATTTGCAACCTGATCAAGCTCACTGACACTTATTTTAGCAATGAATGGAAATACCTCACAAAGCATGACCAGAGCAGAACATTTTATCTCAGAATTTGCTTCCACTGACAGAAAAAAATGTATCCAGACTGAGACATCATTTTGGCACATGCTTTCATTATGAGAACAGGTGATAAAGCATGCAACCAAATCAATAAGTACAATTCTTCTCTTTCTCACTCTCAAATAATGCTAGTTTATACTCTGTCCACGTCAATTCAGTGCAAAACAGTGTAACATTACCTTTGTAGAATGGTGATAAGTGATGGAACATAGATTTATCTTTTGTTGGCATTTTCACCAAGACATCCAATTCAAATCACTGTAATAGAAATGCAGGCAGTCCAAAACGATCAGCCGTCCCCTCAAACCTTTACAAGCTTTGAAGGAACCAATTTTGAGATGAGCCAGTGGCAAAATCAGCTCTTTAAAAAGTTAAGAAACTAAATAGATATCAAGTAGCTACATAGATCCCAATAGATATCAAGGAGGTATCAACTAGAGTCATTGCTCAGCCCTCAAACCGAGAGAAGTAAGGATCGGGGGAAATAATTTCATCTCAAAACTGGTAAAAAAAGAATAAGGATTCCAGTGTCGACACCACCTGGGCAGCCTCTTCTACATCTGGTTTGTAGGTGGAAGGGACCCTATTGCGTTTTTCTGAATGAAATTCAGTTCCATTTCTCATGTATTGTAATCTATTAACTATAAGCCCTGTGTGAGGGGCGCTACATAATGCAAGCTGCTGCTGTTGTTGTTGTTATTACTCACTCCAGATTCTCTGTGAGATGCTGAGAGTTCCTGTCCCAATAGCACAAGAAGACAAGTTAAGAGACTCAGCCACTTCACCAAGTGAATTGGAGTGACAGGCAGCCAAGGACATGAACTCAAGAGCTTCTCCCTCACTCCCACTGAGGCAGATTCACTGAGTGACAAGCAAAGTGTTCACATCCATCCAATGATGCTCTTTATACATGGGCCAAATATAAAGGTCAATATCACTCACTCGAATATTAACTATTGTTATTTACCTTAGCATCTATCAAGGTATCATCTGTTGACCTGTCAAATAACATACTAGACTTTTAAATTGTCTGTAAATTCTGGAATAGGACTGTGGAATAATAATCATACAACATACTGCTAGTTATTATAAATGCTAATAAACGTACAACCACTTCATAACTACCATTATCCACAATTTCATCCTTTGGATGAGATGCTAAACCAATGTTCCGTCTGCCTGTTTAAGTGAATGTTAAAGATATCAAGGCACTATTTGAAAAGAGAAGCTACTGTCTCCCGGTGTCCTGGCCAACAATCCTCCCAGATAAAATTGATCATTCACTTCATGGCTATTACTGAACATTGTCATCATCAAGTCCCCTT